CGACCTTTCCACCGAGGTGTCCAGTTTCAGGGCTTCCTTTGGGAAGTGCTAGAGCAGAGGGAGGAGAAAGGGGGGCGGGGTGGAGGAGGGCCCTGCCTCAGGCTGCGCTGGCTGTAACTCAAATTATTCTGCCTTGCAGGTCAACACTGGACATATGACGGTGAGAGCAGAACCCAAGGCCTACCGACACCCCTTTCCCACTGGGGCCTCTTCACCTGGCGGGAAGACTTAGCCACGTGGGTGGGGAGGTTTCCTCCAGCTTCTCACCCTAGCTCCTTCCTTCCCCGACTCCCCATGCTCCAGCTTTCACATATGTGATTCCTAGACGCTGTTCTAACAATCAAATCCCACACACCCTGATTCAGCAGAAAAGCCAGTTATGTCCTCAGTCAATCTGTGCGGGAGTGAGGGAGCTGGAGTGGAAAGGGAACTGGGTGGGGAAACGAGCCATAAGCTTAGCTGCCAATTCTCCTCCTGGCTCTCTTTCTATCCTGATGGATCCTACCCCCACCTGAATCTGGAATTGGGACAGAGCTAGGTCAGGGGTGAGGAAGAGGTCGGCAGGACAGTTTGTGACCCTGGCAGAGGTGGAACCCGCATTTCTGATTAATAACTTAAACCGAATTCCAGATTCAATGCAAGGTCCAGTGCGAAAGCAAGAAGCGAATGATGGAAAGTCAGCAGATCTGAATCTCAAGGCCACCTGATAGGGGGGTCCCAAGGAGAGCCTACCTCTCTAGGACTATTTCATTTCCCCAGTTTTCCTGCTCCTACTCAAATCCCACCTTTCTGGGTATACGCGGGCTTTCTATCCATCCCCTCTTCCTCTCATTTAGCTTTCTAAATGAGTAAGTAAAAGCAACTGCTCCCCATTCATCAGGAGAGCTGGAGAATCATCACTGCCTCTGCATAGGTGAAGGGACTGCAGCAGCAAGTCCAGCAGGGGCTCCTTGCTCACCCAGCCCCGCACACCTGGGGGCTTCATCTGGGGTGGAGAGAAGTGCATTTCTGCCTCCATATGGGTATAGCTTGGTGAAGGGTTGCTGAAGGGTGGTTAGGGGCTGGAGGACAGGACAGGTGTCTGTGGTAAACCCCACCAGGTCCACATGGTCAAGACCACTGGCCAGCCTCTTACCCTGAGTGTGGAAGCAACGCCCAGTCCCCCATCAACATTCAGACAGGCAGTGTGACTTTTGACCCTGAGTTGCTACCTCTGCAGCCCCATGGATATGAACAGCCTGGCACCGAGCCTTTGGACCTGCACAATAATGGCCACACAGGTAAAAAGACCAGGCCTCCAAGGAGATATAAGCTCCAGTTCCAATCTTAGGAGTCAGAAGTGAAGGAGCATTCTCCTAACTTCTAAATTCTCAGAAGGTTTCATCTATAAATTTGGAGACATGAGAATGGGGATCAGGCTCCTGTAGCCATAGGTGGGAACTGAATGTGTATATGATCAAGCTTTATGGGTGGGTTAGCATCATAGCATTGACTTGATCTTTACTAGAAAAGCAGTGGCTAGGACTTCCAGCCACTGGTCCAGTGGTTAAACCTCCGAGCTCCCACTGCAAGGGGGCATGGGTTTGATCCCTGGTCAGGGAACTAAGATCCCACATGCCGCACGCAGGGCGCGGCCAAAAAGAAAAAAGAAAAGCAGTGGCCTATGGGAAGAAGTGGGTGCTGTGTAGGGAGACAGAAAAGGCTGGCCAAATCTCCCCAAAGTGATGGCAACCCAGGGGTGGGAATGTACCCACATTCGTCCACCAACCCTAACTCGCTCTCTTTCCC